TATATTAGGTACAGCACGTAGAACTGTGATACAATCAATTTGACGTCCATTAATAGCGTGTGATTTTTAAGACACGTGAATTTAATGATCGCTGATCTATCATACTAGGTATGCAATTAGTACGTGAACCATTCGCGCTAACCACCTTTGTCCGCGTGTCATCATAGAGAACGATAGTTTCATTCCTGTCATAGCGCGTTTCGTATCATGATATATGTATAATTAACACAATTTCATAGATATCGGTGATCAACGGTGATCATCGAAACCGGTGGGTGCGCTTTGCGTAATGTAAACGTAGAACGATGATGATGATTATTAACAATGGTACAATAGTGTTTCGTGATTGAATAAAATTGCAAAGCAAAAGATGTCGTTCGATCGCCTGTATTCCCTAAATAATAAGATAAAGTATCGTAGTAATCATAAATCGTAATTATCCATGTCTAAAAAATCCGAAGAATCATATTATAGTTGGTCACTTCCAAATAAAAAAGAACGACGCTCGTGTTTCGTAACAGTGTGTTTCGTACGTGGAAAACTACGACGAGATATCGCAATCCCGATGACAGGATGGAAAAGTTCGATCGATTTGAACGTCGTATTGAAACATCTCGGTGATCGTCCGGCGTTGAGCGTCCGATATAGTCGACGAAAGCTCTCGTTTCGCGTACAGTTATTTCGTAACAGGAGTCATTAGCATTCACCTGCGTTAATTAACGGAAGTTCTGGCGCGCGTATATGCGGGATGCATCAGCCATGCGTAAGGGGAGGGCAAGGGGCTGTAGGGGGCTAGGGTGATAATGCGCGATGTATACGACGCACAGTCCCTTGTGCTTTTTCCCTGCTTTCGTAGTTTGTATCGTCGATGCTCGCGTGGCGTGTAACGGCAAATTATCCACGGGCTTTTAGTTGTGGTCGGTGGTGTAGTTGTAGCGTGAAATCGGCGCAACCACACCCACGGATACCGGCAAGAAACCGAAGCGACGACGACGAAAGGGATCGACGCACAAAGGGGGAAGAGATTTTGCATATTCTCCGCGTTAGACTCGTTCAGAGGCGGAGGGGGAACGAAATCTTTCCTCGGTTTTCAAAGGATTCCGGCCGTCTTCTCGTGCTACGTTATGACAATTACCATGTGTGAGATTTAGATGGATAGTATTATCGTGAAACGCTGCGCCAATGGGTGATCTATAGACACCGATTCGATCCCAATGCACTTAACACCCATCCAGCTCTAATGCTATTCTCTCGTCACGAGCGTTCATCCTTGAGTTGCAACAGACGTGCCAGATGTTCCTAAGCTTCGTCAAATGAAGCAAGATATTTCGAGAATAATACGTATCCCATCGATCAAGAATATTACGATAAATGCGAATAAAGAAAAAAAGCAAGTAACATTCTATCGAAAATGTTTCCATAAACTTCCATAAACGCGAATTCGGATCCTTTCGTATTCGGTAATTCGAAGCCTGCACTTCGTCTTCGTATTGTTTCAAAGTGCACACAGATAGCGCGCGTTGCCACTGCCGCTCGGTTATTATCATCCCAAATAATAACCAACTTCTTCCAAAGTTGGCGCGAACCCATGTGTCGGATCCGCGCGACACCTTACCACTTTTCCTTCCTCCCTAAAACTTGGCGATAAACCGGAGAAATCCGGCGATCGCTTTCTGGCAATACCTGGAGTACCCTGGAGCGTGTAAATCCCATATATCCAATTAGATTCGTATAATCCCTACATGTTAGCAGAGGGTGTCTCCACCCCGTCGGGTTGGCCGGCTGTTTCGTTCTCTGTTCCCGCCGAGAGCAGTCTCGGTTGCTCCCGCAGGTAACGCGTTGCTACGTGTGCATCGGAGGCGCAAGCGCGCTCTAATGCTAAAGTACTAATTTATGGCCACATATGAGATGGCTGTAGCGCGCTTTACCGTGCCAGGAAAGGGACTGTAGTCCGTGGAACCGTGGGGAGGAGGGGTGGCTGGTGGGGATGTAGGACGAGGGTATATCGGAGAGTGGTACAGGGGTGGGCTTTGCATGCGATATCAATAAATCAAGTCCCCGGGACCCCGCCAGCTTAGGGGGCCACTACGTGGCCAGAATCAACAGCTCATAACGTCGGCTAATAGCTACTCGCCGTGGGGTCGAAGATATTGTCGTAACGCCCAGGGACATCTTAACGTCTTGCGCCGAATTTGCTTTCGGCCGGCCGTGAAAGAATCGGCTGCGGGAAGAGGAGA